GGCCATCCCCTCCCCGGGCTTGGCCCAGCCGAGGGCAGGAGGTGGGGTCGCGATCCTCAAGCCCAGGGGCCAGCAGGAACACCAGCCCCGGGAGGGAGCGGGGCTGCCCAGGTCCTCGCACCCCGTACCCAGCAGCGGGGCTGCGCCCGCTGCTCAGCCTCACCCGGCTCTGCACAGCTGCCCAACAGCCCTCGCTCTCTGGGTGTCAAGCCCCTGACCCAGGCCTGGGGAGGGCAAGGGGCAAGAGCCTGCGTTCTGGCCTGCGCCCAGGGTGCCAGCAGAGCTCTGCACAGCACCTGTGGAGCCGCACCAGCGCCCAGGGAAGCAGCAGTTTCTCCAGGCAGCTTCTCACCCCTTACAGCATCTCCTGCCTCCCCTCCCAGCCCAGCCCAGCACCCCCTGGGCCCAGGGAGAAGGAGAGGGTGCTTCCAGACAGCCCACACTTCCAACCCCAGGTTTCAGAGCAGGCTGACTGCAGCCAGGGTCTGCCCACACAACTGCTTTCAACACCCAGAGCCACCCTCTGCAGACAGGGCAAGGGTGAGATGGTCAGCCAGCCTCTCCACCCCACCACCACAGCCCCCGGGCTGCCCCGCAGCCTGCCCTGGTGCCCCCACATCGCCCTCCCACCGCAGGCAGCTTGCAGGGTACCCAGCGCCTGGAGCTGCGAGCACCGGGCGAAGTCCCAAGCCACACAGCCCAGCACAGGTCTTCACCCCGAGGTCCCCAGGCGCAGTAATGACTGGGGTGGTTCCCCTTTCCACCCACACCCCTCCCGGGACTCCGCCGCCCTCTGCAAGAGGCTGGAAGGAACTCGGTGTCCCCCAGCCCAAGAGCTCAATCACCCCGATCAGTGTTTGGTCACAGCTTTCATCTCAGTCAAGTGTAACCACACACTTGGGATCAAGTACCCCTCCAGGCCTTGCCGTACTTCACCTCCATTTCCACATTCCTGTGACTCTCCAAGCACTCTGAAAAGCCAGTTTAATCTACAAATTTGAGGAAGCAAAAAAAAAACTGCTGAGGCAGCAACTGCAGCTAGTTTGGGAACAGCCCTGATGAGGGCCGCGAACCCCGGGAGGTTACAGGCGACGTTAACATGAACAGAGTGAGGGAAACCAGGCTGCAATTCACACGCTGCAGCACGGGGATCGTGCCAGAAAAAAAACCAACCACGCAAAGTCCCCATGATGGGATTAGCTCGAGGGCTTCGTCGAGTGAAGCTTGCAGCATAAGCAAACAGCTGATGCACTCGGAAAACGGGGCGACACTCCGCTCGTGCCAGATCTGAACCACAAGCAGGTTTTTGTTGTGGTTACCACCTACCTCCTGGGCACTCCTCAGAAGGAAGCTACGTCAGACACCGAGAACACGGATCACAAACACGTGCTAATTACACAGGGCCACAAAATGCAGGGGGACACCAGAGGTCTCGAGCAAGCAGGGGTATCTGAGATTCGGAGCAGCGTCACCCCGTGTTCACTGACAGCTGATGGAACAGGTCCCCGGTGCAGAAGACCCCAGGGTGGGACTCTCGGGAGCAGGCAGCTCTGCCCACCCAGTGCCAGGCTGCAGCAGGAGGGAGGGAGGGAGGGAGAAACCCCTTTACTGAAACGAAGCCCCCAAAGTTCCCTGGGCGCTCTCTTTCACATGGGCCATGCTGTCACAAAACACAAGAGCCCCTCAGTGGTGTCACAGGGTTTATTCTCCTGTCTGTACAGTCCTCAGTAGACGCAGTTTAGATGATTCCGATCTGGAAAGAAGCAAAGCGTATTGAAACAGATGTTACGGTGGCAGAAAGGCAGAGCCTCCACCACAGACATCGCTGCCAGGGCTGCATCTCCCCAGGATTCCCCTCCTCCGAGGACAGGCTTCTTCCTCCCAGACCTGCCAAGTGCCTCACAGAACTGCTTCAAACATTTACTCCACGGTGAGCCCTGTGCTAACCCACAGCGCATTCCCCTGGTCCTGCCAACCTCAGCCACATCCAGCACTGCTCTGCCTGCTGCCTCCAGCCACCCGCACGCCAGAAACCCTCCTTCACCCAGGCCGGCAGCGCAGCAGTGCCCCCGGCATAACTCCCCCGTGTTAAACGAGCTGCCAAGAATGCTGTTAGGACAAATGCTGTGTCAACCCAGAGGCTGCAGGGCAGTTTCTGCACACTCCCTGCTAATACTCTGGAGTTCTTGTAGTCCCGTGGCACGGAGCCCCTCCCTGGGGGAGCTGGAGAACAGCAGGACTTCTCCCTTGTTCACTTTTCCCACCTAACCTCACATCTTCCAGGCAGAATTGCGTTTTGCTAGACAATGTGGTCTTGCTTCCGAACGCTCAGATCCTGTCTAAGCACAAGGACACTCCACAGAAATGCTGCTGTACCTGAAGCACAAGTACCTCACCTGTACACCAGGAAGAGCAACCAGACACAGGAGATACCAGACAATGGGAGCTGCAAAGTTTCAAAGATGTCTCACCTTGTTGGCTACATCCAGGGCATCGTAATCTGGAGCCAGTCGGACATAAGCCTTCTTCTCCCCATCAGGCCTAGATAGCAACAGGAGGCATCAGTACAGGGGCACACAACTCCTCCCACCTGCTCCACGATCCTGCTATAGCAGTGTGCATCAGTGGTTCCTTTGGAAACATCACTTTACTCAGTGGTAAAAAACGTTCACATCATTTGCACAAGACTCCCTGGGTGTTGGAAGAGCTCCCCGATGCAGCTGACCCTCTAGTCTGCCAACATCGCCCAATTCCACTAAGATGTTGGCAGACACAAGTTGCATTTCTCAAAACTTTAACACTGAAAACACTGTGGAGCTTACTGCCACACCCCCTGAGAGTACCCACAACTGCCGAAACTCACACATGTTCCCATCTTCTGCTAAAAGCCACTCGGGATTCTTGAGGCACCTCACACCCCCCAGCGACCTACTCTTCCCCTGTTCTCACCTGATCAACGTGTTGACCTTGGCCACATCGATATCATACAGCTTCTTGACAGCCTGTTTGATCTGGTGCTTGTTTGCCTTGATGTCGACGATGAAAACCAGAGTATTGTTATCCTCTATCTTCTTCATTGCCGACTCTGTGGTCAAAGGGAACTTAATAATGGCATAATGGTCCAGCCTGCAGGAGAGACCCTGTGGTTACCATAGGGCTGGCAGATGCCACCTCAGCACTTCAGGGGCTTTCAAATGCCATAGGTACCATCTAAAAAAAGTTTGGGGTGCATCAGTTGCCAAAAAAAGTTCTCATCACAAACTTTCAGGCTTTGGTCGCTTGAAATCATCACTTGCATCCCGAATACCCACCGCAGCACCCTGCCACCAAGGCGTGGGCTCAGCTCACAGGGCAGCAGGCTGACAAGGTGTCACCCTGGGACCTGCAGCAAGGCACAGATCCCCACACCGGCCCACGGTGCCGCCCCCAGCCCGGCAGAGCCCAATACCCCACACCTACTTGTTTCTCCGTGGGGCACTCTTCCGGGGGTACTTGGGCTGCCGTCGCAACCGCAGGGTCTTGGGCCTGCGGAAGGTGGGCGACGTGCGGATCTTCTTCTTCTTGTGGCTGTGGACCCCCTTCAGGACGGCCTTCTTGGCTTTCAGCGCCTTGGCCTTCGCCTCCGTCTTCGGAGGCACGGCTGCAACGACAGCTCAGTCAGCACAACCAGACTCTGGAGGACCAGGATACGCTCCCCCACCCAAACGGGCCACAGCTCCCCCCACCACGCAACCCAACGCGCGAAACCTCTCCATGCAGCCCACGCTCCCTCACCCAACCAAGATCAACCCCAAAAACGCCCAACGGAGTTGAATTTTCCCCCTTCCTCCAAAGAAACCGATCTCCCACTGCACCAACGGACGGGG